CTCCTAAATATATAAAACAGATTTTGACAGACATAAAGACAGAGATCAACAACAACACTATCGTAGTAGGGGACTTCAACACCCCGTTGTCACCAATGGACAGATCCTCCAGACAGAAAATCAACACGTAAACAGTGGTCTTAAATGACACTTTAGACCAGCTGGATTTAATTGATATTTTTAGTGCATTTCACTCCAAAGCAACAGAATAAAAAAATCAGCCTTGTATTTCCCCCTTATGAGTGGCATCCCCAAAACCTACAAAAAACAAAAAAGAACAACCATATTCTGGTTTGAGAAACAGAATGAAGGGTGGTGCCATATATCAAGGGAACACTGAAGAACAGATTTTGAGGGAAAAGTGATGGGGTCAGTGTGAGCTATCTATGCACTAGTCAAGCAGGGGGATATCCAGATGACAGGTAGATGTTCGAATCTGGAACTCAGGAAATATATCTGGGCTGAAGATAGGAATCTAGAAGTTATTAATGTACAGTTGGAAACCAGAGCCATGGGAATTGATGAGATTTTTCAGAGTCTATAGGACAAGACCTATGACATTGGAGGGACACTGATTCTGACTGTAAGCAACAAAAATCAACCCTGGCTAGAGGGCCTCTGCATATGGTTGTACAGGGAATACCTTGTGCAGCCACATGTAGCAGCCTGCCCAGTCAATGTAATTTACTGGAAGGATATGAGGCAGGTCATGAAAATTAGAGAAGCTTAACATTCAAGAAAATCAGGAACCTGGCCAACTGAGGCAATCTCAGCAACAAGAACTTATATGCCTCTTACATATTATCTTCTGGTAGCATGGGAGAGGGGTAGCTTCCTAAAGGAAAGGTGAGGTGTTACTCTCAGAGGAGGGAAAACAAGACATAGGTAGGCAAATGCAGCTGTCCACTAGGTCCTATCTCTTGGTTATCCAGTACATGCATTCTTCGACATGGACAATTTTATAAATGCCACCATTCAACATACTGTAGAAAATGGATTCATCTTCTTCCCAAGGGAGATAACCTAATTTCCAGTTACCACATCAGTGTCAAGTCTAAGATTTCTGGGTGACATTCATTCTCCTCTAGTTCTTAACCTCATCTTGGTGATCTACAATTTATGAATTAACATATTTAACCATCACCAACACACCCACATACATTAGTGAAGCGATATGGCCAGCAGAATGGCTCAGATCAAGTGGATGGGAAATCTGATTGGATTAAGTTGGATCATATTCAAACTTCAGCCAGGGGGTGTGAGGGACAAAGTACTGAAATGGAGAAAGAGAGGGGGATAAAAAGATAAGGCAAGCTGGGAGACATGGGTAAAGGCTAGAGATCTTATTTCTGCAAAAAGTCACAGGTCTGTAGTTGGTACTTATCTCTTCCCCCTTCACTATACACTCTGTATTTTTTCTTCAGCCAAGGGTTTTTGAGTAGTAGGAAGATCCAAACTTTCATTCCTGAGATACATGGTGGTTGGCCCTTTTCCAAGTCTTTTGAATTCTCCCAGATATCAGAACTCTGAGTCTCTTTTCCAATTAATGCCCTAACTCACAGATCTCAGTAAGGCTGCAAATTCAATCAGCATTGTAATTTCACAATTTGTGGAATCAATCTCCAAGTTGTAGTTTTGTAAATATTCACAAAGAGATTCATTCATCCTGGACACAGAAAGGCCCTGGATTTTATTCTATGCCTACAGACATGTTTCTGGGTTTGAGCTTGTTCTCTCACTTTAAATTATCCAATGTAATCCAAGTAACCATCCTAACTCAATGGTCTTGGCCTTCCTTATCCACTTCCAATTGTCCTATTGTCAATAGCTACCTCGTTATCCAAATTTTGCCTGCAATAGACACGATTCCAAATGACAAGGGAAGTATCTTTACTTGCTGTTTTACCACTATAAATTGCTCACCCCCCTGGGGGACATAGAAGATGATTTATTCCTGCCTTTAATTCAGTCTCAGTGCAATAATCAATTTGTCTTTCATGTTCCTGGGGCTCTACTACGATTTAACTGTTACCAATTTCTGTAATCATTCAGTCATTTGGTTGCAACAGAAACCCACTTTGGCTTACAAATAAAAAGGAAACATGTTATAAAGAGATGTGATAGTCTACAGAAGCAAAAGAAACCTGGATAACCAGACCTTGAGAACAGGACCTAGGACACCTTTGGGAATGTCCTTGCACCAACTTTTATATGCTTTACTTGGGACACTACCATCAGAAAAACTCAGCTCCTATAATTTTGCTTGTGTCACCTCTCCTAAGACTCAAAGTCCTGGTGAGAGGGGAATTTGGATTGGACAAGCTTAAAGCACACTATCAAACTTCAGCCATGGGGTACAAGGACGGAGTACTGTAATTTATAGTTTCACTAACATCACAAAATAGCATCCCAAAGGAAAAGTAGGGATCTATCACTAAAGGAAAGGAGAAATGATTTGGGGGAGGCAAACATCAAGGGATGTCCACTATACCAGTATTTAAATGATGGGGGAGAACAGAAGAACATACAATGGAGCAATAGCCAGGAAGGCAGGAAGAAAATGTGAAGTGTCTCCGCAACTAAGGGAAGTATGTCAAGATGCTGTGTGGGAGTTATCTGTGCTGCTGCAAGTTCAGATAATATGTATATGTAACGGACTTAGCAATAAAAAGGTCACTATTGACCTTCATTGCAGTGAGATCAGAATACTTAAGATTTCAAAGGAAATGAGACTTTTTCTTCCTATCCATTTAGTGTAAAAACTGTAACAGAGGTCTGAATAACATCAGTTGAAAACAGAAATAATCTTTTGATGAAGTTCTGATATTCCAAATACACTCAGATATTTAAAGAGATATTCTTGAAAAATTAAGGAACAATTCTCAAACAAGTGAAGGTGCAGCAGTCTGTCAGTTGGAGAAATGGATGATGAATGTTTTAAGATAAAAGTGGGTATTTTATTAGATGAAACAGGCTCAAGTGTTAAGTAACTTGCCAAGGTCAAACAGTAAGCACTAAACTTAATTTTAAAAATTCTTTATTTTTAAATAAAGTTTAAAAGTAACGTGAGTAGTGTAAAATATTTAAATACAGAAATGTATCAAGTTGAAAGTCTCATGTAATCTACACTGTTCAAAGAAAGCCATTAAAGACTTTTCTATGCATTATAAACATAAACACACACAAATATTAAAATGCGTTCATACTATACATTTTTCTATCAATAGTTAGTTTCACTTAATATATCATGGCCATTTTTCCATGTCCATACACAATAAATGACCTTATTCATTTTAAGAGACATATAGATTTTCTTATATGGTTAAACCATGTATGTGTTAACCAATCCTTTACTGATAAACATTTAGGTTTTCTTCTATATTTTTCTACCATGTAATTAATTTTTAAGCTTCTGTCTTAAACATTGTCAGTTCCTGTTTTACTTTGTCTTCCAGTTTAGAAAGTAATTTCAGTGTGCCCATAACCTCGTTTAATCAATACTTGGATCTGTCAAGTTTCAAAGTTGGTAGATAGTATATTAGAACTCAATTTCAAGCAATAGAAACCCAACTCAAAGTAACTTAAACAAAAAAGGATATTTATTGGTTCACATAACTGAAAAGTCCACATAGGCTAGCTTCAGGCACAGGTGGATCCAGGGGGCACAAACACTGTCATCAGTACTCAAGTCTCTCCATCATTTGGCTCCATTTTCCTCTGCACTAGCTTCATTCTCTGACCAGCTCAGTTGATATAATGGACCCTGCTGGTTTGAGCTTTCTCATTCTACAAAGCCAAGCAACCTCAGTAAGTAGTTTCTCAGCTTCTCTTCTTCCACAGCTCAGTAAAACTCTGAGGGTTGAGTATCACTGGACCAACTTGAATCACATGACCATTCCTGAACAAACCAGTGTGGTCCAGATGAATTGTGCTACTTGATCAGGTGTGAACTACACATTCACACATGAAACCCAAGGTTAGGTCAGACTGTCTGAACCATGTGGACTGAAAATAGGGAGATGTGGTTCCAAGAAATATCACTGAGTTGTTACAAAGAGATGGAATGAATGCTGGTCAATCAAAAACACTTGATGTCCACGATAAGATCAGACATTGAAAAAGTTTAGTCTCTGCTCATAAAGTTGAATAGTAACAGCTGGCATTGTTACTTTCTTGATAATAAAAGTATTCTGAAAAAACATCATTAGGAGTATGTTCTGTACTCAGAAAGCTCATAATCCATTTGAATGGAATAATCATGTCCAATAGCATACTTTGGATGACACAATAGTTTCAATATAAGTAAACCCAGTGGTCATGAATCTGAGAGCCCAACCGTCCAGCTGACATGAGCAAGACTACTAGCCTCCCACTGGCAAAAAGTTCTGTGAGACTATTCAAGTCAGTGGTAAATTTTAAGTTCAGTGGAAAACTTTTCTTGTGTTTCTTTAAGTTTTTTGCCAAGTTGGACTGGTACATTTCTCATTTCTATACTGGTGAATCAGACTTACCTCTGTATCACTGCAGAAGAGTCGACAATGCTTTTCATCTGCTGTACTCCTTCAGACCTGGTAGAAGGGGTCCCAGGTGCTGAAAATGATCAAATATACATAGGCATAGAGGCTTACTCTGCACTTAAATAAAAAAAGGCTGCCGCTGGTCAGAGTATACAGCATGGTGCGTCCTGTTGAGAACATTAAATCCTGGTGGGTGATGCACAGGTTGCTTCTGTTTACAATTCCCTGGTGGGATTGGGTATAAGATAGGCTGAGATCAGCTGTAGTCTTCTCAAGGATAGCAAGTCTGGTTGCAGCAACATGTCAAAAAGGGCAGGCAATGGCTGAGTTAGGTAAATGGTCAAGTAAAGTACCTTTAGTAGGGGCAGCCATACCAATAGCAAGGATATGATACGGAAGAACAAGTAGTTTAATATCGAAGCTCTGTAAATTAGTTTTTACCCCAAGTACTCCAGGGTTCATCCATAGTGTTTACTCTGGATACAATTTTCTGATCTTAAATAGCCAGTCAGGTACAGCAGCTTTCATTTTCCTGCTCATCTGCCAAATAACTTTCAGCTCAGGAGAAGGCTACATCCTCAATCCAGACTTGAGGTTTTGTTTAGGAGTCTATGCTACATCTGGGAGTGATAGGGTTGGGAGAGCCAGATTCATCAAAGTTAGCTGTACTCTTTTGGTAATGAAGTTTCCATCTTCTAACTCAGCCCATCTCTGAGAATCATAAACAAGTCAAAGCTTCAAATTGGTTGAATGGTACTGTTGGAAAGATTTAGATGAGATCTGAGGCATGAAGATAAGTAGGGAAGATCCTATGTTTGAATTTTACGTTTTCTGTTTTCTCAACCATCAATTCTTATACAAAGTGTTCATTAGACTCTTGAAAGATGATTATCCTCACCTTAAGTCTCTCATTTTGACTGAGTTTGACAGGATTAAAGGGAATGACTGGCAGTGTAGATCAGTATCTTTTTCAGTACAGAAAGAAAATTGCGCTGCTATTTTAAAGGTAGTATAAAACTTGAGTTTGTAGATAATTTCTTCTTTACAAGAGTTGTATATACAAGCAGGATAGTACTCAGGTTTTATTTTTTATTTGTTGAGGGTGAGCAATCTAGAGTAACCAGACATAGGCCTTGTTTGATGATATGCAGACCAAGTCATGTGATCACATTTAGTCTAGAGGATAAAAGACAAAGAAACCATTCCTAACATTTAACCAGTGCATTCATTAAAGTAGTTGAGGTCAGCTGGACATTAAGTCAACTGTGAAGTAAATGAGATTTTCTTGTGACATAAATTAAAGTTTACTTATTCAACATGATCTGGTCTGGAAGCTTATGAATCCAATCCTTCCTGCAAAGACAGTAAGTTGTCTTAATGCCTGAGAGTACCTCATGGAAAGGAATGAAGTCAGCCACTCTGAATCAGTGTAAAACAACAGTATTGAGACAGATGAAATTCCATAGCACATCCACAAGGGCAAGGGACTGTGGTCTTGTGACATTAGGATGAAGCAGTAGGAAGCTCTTCAGTCAACTGATAAAATCCTTAGCTTCAGGCTTTGTAGATTTTTTTTTTTCCAAGTCAGTCTACATTTCTAGCAAAAAGGTAGATGATATACAATTTGAGATTCCCAGCAAGTAAGCTATCATGGCCTGGTCAGAAGGCCTACCTCCAAATATCCCTAACACCTACAGTTGATGGTACCAGACATCAAAATACCCATTAAAAAAATTCTTATTGGCTAGAAGAAAATTCTTCAAGTGGCCACATTTTAAATTACATAATGAGAAAAGATGTTCAAAGATTGTCTCTTGTGGATCAGGTGTTACATGTAGTTAGAGCTGAGTATTCATAATTTTAGAGCAGAATATGCCAGGCAGATATGCCAGTGATGGAAGAATTGTTTTAGCTTTTTAAAGGTTATTAGCTCATTTACCCTGGAAACAGCAGTTAGTGAATAAAAACCAAGCAGCAGTATAACTTCACTGGTTGAGTCACAGTGACTTGTAGTTTGAGAATAAGACGAGTGATAACCAGGTATCCTTTTAGGTAATGTTGCCAGTATTTGAATTCTGCTTTTATAGTTCATGGTTATCGCTTGCACATGAAGTAGAGTACCACGGCTGATGATGGGAGGTCCAATATATGTCAGTCTACTATAGCCTCAATGAGGCATCAGCTTCAATACCTGGTGATTCAGGTATCCAAGGAGGATCAAAACTTCAAAATCACGTATTTCAAGTACCACTAGAGCTTCTGGTGTTTGTAAAAGAAGTTGGGTAAGAGGGTTTGTCAGTGTAGAGTATATATTAATTACTGTCTACATCCAACTCCAGGAATCACTGGAAGTTCACCTGGGGGCAGAGGGCTTTTAATTGTTAATCTAGGTCCATTTGATACCACTTTTGGCCCATATGACTACTCTGGGGAGCAAAGATACACCCGTCTTCTTGTACTTTTCTGAGTTTGCCCACAATGAGTATTCATAAGAGTATTCAGCACCAACTGAACATAGACTGTTGGGTAGAGGTACAGATCAGAATGCCATTCAAGTTCAACATACTGTTATCTAGGGCAATGGTTTCAAACTGTTCTGAAGAATTCTAGGTGTTGTAAAGAAGTCTTCTTAGGTGTCACCATGGTGGTAAAGATGCTTGTGGCAGGTGGCAGGCCCCCACTCCTGCTTCATCCAGAGCAGCTCCATTTTTACTTGGGGCTTCCACATAGTTTTCATTCAAGGGGCTTCATGGCCACAAAGCCTTTGGAAAACCAATGATCTAAGAATAAGTTGTTCACAAAATGCTGAAATACAAAAAATAGGTCACAGAAACCAGAAACTGTGTGAGCATAGCCTTTGGTAAACCAAGGTGTTTTCCTATTCATTTTTCCCCTAAGGTGGGCCACATTATAGAATTATGAAAACATTCCAGTTTGCTATAAATTCTGATTGCCTGAAATTGGGCTTGTGACTGTCAAGAGAACAAAGCTATTGGTTTTAAGTGACAATAGCATGGGAGTTTTTGTAGTCAGCATAGAGCTGCAAAATGCATTCATTTCTTAGTATTTTCTAAATATTATTCCAAGAAGTCCATGGCTGGATGACTTCTCAAGCACTGATACGATCTCAATGGGCAATAACTCAAATTCTAAATTATCTTCTTCTCACCCCGCCTCCCCACTTTCTCCATCCTTTTCCTCTCTTCCCTTCCCAATATTCTCACCTATCTGAGAACTAGGTTTATAGCACAATTCTAGAGACAGAGAAGTATATTGTTAAATGTCATGGAATTCATCCAATTTAGGGGCAGAATTAACTTTTCCCCATTCCCCTCGCATGTCCTCACAAATCTTTTAGAGGTTCCTTTGACAGAAAATGAAGGTAATAGTCAAGATAAATGACTCTCATGATACATATTAATTCAAAGCAGTTATTGACAAGAAAAATGGGGATTTCAAAGATGCAGTTTATTTCTGGGCAATTTGTTGTCAGTCAGGAAGCACTGGCTGTACTGCTCTAAAGCAGTTTCCCCATTCCATTAGAAGGAATGCTGCAAAAATAACACCCAGTGCTTAATTTAACTTAGAACATACTGGGGTAAACACTAAACAGCTAAAAAAGTTTTTTTTGCTGCAAGTCTTCTGAGGTCCTTTACCACATTGCATTAGGAATCAGGGAGGGGACATATTTTTACAGTATTTTTATTTTACTGGACTACAGAAGCTCTCTATATGATATGTATATATCATGTATATAAATACACACTCATATGAACAGTACTACTCTGAAAAAAACGGGTGGCTCATTTTGTATAAATATTACTTTAGGGATAAAGGACCATAGATAAAGATGTTGGGTGCTTTAGAGTATTAAGACTTAAAAAAAAACCCCAAAACTCCACAAGGACAATGATATGAACAGGAATCCCTAATCAACAAGGCCACCTTTGGGAAGACCATGAAGAAGGACAAAGGTTCTAAAAGTAGCTTTGTGTTTCACGTTGGGTAGTCTTGTTGCCAGGTGAACATGTGCCTCGTTGACTGGACAATCTACCACCATGGAGACAGTCTGCTCCTAAATGTCAGGGGTGTTATCATGGAATTCTGGTCTAGGTGCAGCTATCAAAATACAACATTTATAACATCTGACTGATTGAGGGCACCAGGTCAGAAAGTTGGAAACCTTTTCTGGGGTTTTCAATCTCTAGACATTTTAACACTGTGGGTAGAGGCTAATTTAATTCCAAGGAGAGGACTGGACTGGGAGTCAGAAGGCCTGGCTTCTTCCACTTTGTAGCTGTGTTACCTCAGATAACCTTTCAAATTCCATTTCCTCATTTGCAAAAAAGGGATTTAATTTATTGTTATGTTGATAACTGAGATTAACGCATGTAAAAGTGCTGTGGAACTGTAAAGTGCAATATAAACATAAGGGATTACCATATAGATTCTACCTGGATGTCTCAAGAGGCCTTTTCTGGAATCTGACTGGAGCTTTGTAAGATGTTGTTAGGTAAAGGGATTCCTTGGTAAAATTTCTTACATTTGTATGAAAGTTCTGGTTCCTGAGTAATCCCAAAGATGGTGCTATGAGGACTTCACTGTGCCTTTGTTTTAATCCCAATGGGTCAGAATATCTGCTTTCTCATTCAGTAGGCTACTACATACAGACTTGAAGTGGAAAAAGAATAGGGTCCAGTGACCTGGATGGAATCCTAGACACTGTATGAACTTCAAACATTTGAGATTGTGGGGTATGGTCCAACGTAGTTCTCAAAAGGATGTTGCCATTTTTCAGTGTTGATTACTAAAAATCCCCTGGTCCAAATTTATTGTCTCTGAAGCCTTTAACTGAAGAAACAAAATGCACACTCAATGAACAAACTGGGCTTTTGTTGTGATAGAACAGCTTCAGCTATTTGGCTTGAGGAGTTTGACTTTACTATAAGGATGATGCTCAATCTGGGTACAGCAGGACAGGAACGGAGGTGAAGGCCACATCATGATGGCTGAAGGCTTCTTAGGTCACAGCGGTCCACTGGAATGGTGTCTTCTTCAGTAGAAATCACCATGAGCAAAAATCCAGGTACCAGATCTGCAGGCTGGTGGAACAGCACAAGGAAGGTGGTCAGAAGGTCCAGGAAAACACTCAGCAATCAGGAGGCATAGGACTGGAAGGGACAGGGACAAAACAGATAACAAATACATGGATTTACAAACACAGGACTCTTTTAACACTAAGCTGGGTCTGCTGTCAACACATCAGCTGCCTGATGGGCACTAATTCTTGACAAGCCTGGCTGAAAAGCTGACAGATAAAAAAATAAACAAACACCTGATAATTAACAATCAATGATGAGAACAGAGAAAGTTCTCTGGCAGACTGTTTTCTGACTCTCGAGAACAAACTGTCTGAGGGAAGCAGCATATAGGAGCTGCCCTAAGTCTCATACTTCGGGGGAGTAATTTGATTGCATTCAGGCTGCTGGGCAGTAGCTGGTAGGGAAGAAACAAGTGGCTCCATAGGAGGCACAAGAACTGAATTTAAGTTTATATACCAACACCAAGGCAAAGGAGATATTGCCCTTCTTCCTTTTCTAATGCCTTCCTCAAATTGTCTTATGATCTTGTACATTTAGAAGCTGTCCTTAACTTTAACTTTAACAAGATTCCATCTTGAATGGGAGAGAATCAAGTACTTAGGGAATAAGGCCCTGGTCCTCACACCCTTGGGTAATAATACCCTATGCAACATATCAATTTTTCTTTATGTTTGAGGGTTCCCTAAATCTTTTTGAATTCAGAATTAAAAAAATAATAAAAACATGAACTAAAGGAGAATCATGGCCCATAACTCATGATTTTTTCCCCCTAACCAAGAGTAGCTAGTAATCATACAGTGATTAAAAAAACACTTACTGAACGCTATTCTGAGATAACCTGCTCTCCAAATTCCTCCTTTCTATTAAATGATTCATCATATGTGGTAGTATGTGTGGGCAAAAATTCATAAGGCCCTTGCTTTCACGAGGTTTGCTATCTGCAAGAGAGCAAATAAAAAAAGCATGCAAATAACTACTTTACAAGGTATATGCAAAGATAGATAAAAGGTATATAACAAAGTTTTAAAAAGATTATCTCTGGCCAAAGTTAAGAGACTCATGGAGAAGAGAGCATTTGAGTTGGATATTGAGGAAATGGCACGTTTAACAGGTGAAGACCAGAGGAAGGCATTCCAGAGTACAGAACATGAACAGAAGGCATTTCGGAAAATGGCAAGTACCGTAGTTCACTTTGGAATAGAGCGTTGCCAGAGTTTGCACTGAGGGTCTGGAAGAAACTCAGGTCTTCAAATTCCCAGTAACAGTGCTGGTGGCAGTGCTTGATCAGTCATCGAGTTTGCTTTGAGAAAAGAGACAACAGTCCCAATATTCAAAAATAAAAATATCCAGCCAGAGTTCCTGTCACACCCTGATAAGTTCTTCCATGTCCCAGGTCCAGGTCTTGGAAATCTGGAGTCCATGCCGTGGCTACACTGAAAGGCATCTGCTCCAGCTAGTGCAGAACATTGTAGTGAAACACTTTCAACCTCCTATCCTGGACAGCTCATGTTTTGTCACAGAATTTCAAGCTTTCAGTTCCAGTTGTTTTTCCCCCCCTCCTTTCTGCCGAGGAAAGCATCTTATCACCAGTCTTAAAAGTCTTTTGAGGTACATCCAGATTTGACTATAAAAGACCTAAATGACCAACACATTTTCTCTGAAATAGTCATTTCTATGAAAGTGAGATCATTTGTCGCTGCCCTTTAGGTAAAGGGAATAGTCAATTCATTTTTTTCAGATAATTGTATGAAATAGCAGAACTGGGTAACAACTAACCAGACAAAATACACTTGAACGTGTGTGTTCACTTGCTTAGAGCTGTACCACTGGTAAGCAATATTCCACAAAACGAAAATGTTTGAAATCCAACTGTTCAAACATTTCTATAGTGTTTGCTAGATAATGGCCTGGAATTTGATAACAGCAGCTGACAATTAACAAAGAAGCAAAAACTGGCAGTTTGGCCATCTTAGTAACACATTTGCAAGCAAACAGAATACAAAGCAGTCCAGGAAAAAGTTAAGCTTTGAAACACTTCCAAATCTACTGATTCTGAGATTCAGGAGGAGTTCTAAAAACTTTGCAGAGAATGTTAACCTTCAATTAATAAAGATAAACCCCTCAACATCTTCGGGAATTCCATGCCTGGTTCAGTCTGTTCCAGTGAGCCAGCTTTCTAAAAATTCACCTGACACTAATTAGCTAGACTTGGCAGCACCAATTTAAAAATAAGCCTGCTCACTACCAACCACACAGACTAGGGATATAAAATAGGACCAAGTAAATAGTGGCAAACATGGTTGTGGAAAATGGTTAATTAAAGTCAGAAAGGTAGTCAGACACCAACCAGTATAAGCAGCAGAAAACAAAGTTATTGGGCCAAAGATTACATAGACTAGATTTAGCTACTTTATATTGGGCACCATTGTACCATATGCATCAGCCACTCTTCAGACACCCCATGGGGAAAGGAAAGGACTAAGGATAGAAGCCAAGCGGTGGAGTGTTGTTACGCCGAAAATCCATTCTGCACAGAAACAGCTCACATATCCCAGGGATTCAATTAGGGGCTTCAAATTGGTTGCGAAGGGTCCCAAATGACATCTAGGCCTCAGTTTCCTCCCTGTGGCATAAAGAAATTGTGGTTCTTAACTCTTGGGGGAGGGGTGACATCTCCCTTTGAAAACTTGTTAGTGATGGATCCTCATTCCCCTGAAATGCACATTCCCACTAATTTCTGCGTACAATTTCAGGGAGTTTGTGTGGATCGCCAACTCCAATCCAAGGTTGAAAATCCAAGGATTGGGCAATTACTAAGTTTTCTTACAACTCAAAAAAAAAATACAAACAAAAATCGTCCCTTACGTACACTCACGCTTTACAGTTTACAAAGCGCTTTTAATCCCACAAACACCAATAGGCAGAGGAGGAAACTGAGGCGCAAATTACAGAGTGACTTGCCTAAGGTCACTCGGCCAACTGTTGGCTAGGCCCGGAAGCAAACCCAGCTCTTCCGACTCCGGGGCTTGTCTTCCCACCCCGCAGCTGCTGTCAGAGCCCCGGCCCCTAAGGCGGCATAAGGAGGAAAAGGCAAAGTAGAAAGCCCACCACCAACCATCCCCCAGCCTCCTCCTGTCCCTCCAACTGGGTCCCTGCAGGCCCCGAAGGGTGGCGCCAGGCCTCCAGGCCGGCCCCGGCCACCCCCGACTCCCCGGCCACGCCAAATCCCGCCGCTGCCGCTTCCCCGGGAGCGGGGCGGAGCAGCTGCCCGCCGCCACCGACCACCCGGACGACTCCTCGACGAATCGCAAACGCATAGGCCGCGGCCCGAGTTCTGCGTACGAGAAGAAAGACACGGCGCGACCGCCAACGGCCACCGGGCGCGCGCCGCGGCGGCCGGGCCTGCGCCCCAAGAGCTGGATGCCAGAGCAGGAGAAAGAGCCGCCAACCGATCGCTCGATCGACCGCGCGCCCGCTCCTTCGCCCTACCAGACCGGGGAGGGGGGGAGGGCGCGCCAGGGCTTCTTCGAGTTAGGGGCCTGACTCCCCGGCGACGAGACAAGATGGCTCCTCCGGTCCGCACCGCAGCTACCGTCCCGGCTGCGTCTCTCGGCCCGCCCCCGGTACTGTTTCTTTAAATGGCGGAAAGGGTCAGGAAAGCAGGAAGAGAGGCGCTCTCTCTCACGTGACAGGGGCGGGCCCGGCTAACAAGATCCGGTCACGTGGAGACACGCTGGCCACCTATCAGGAGATGTTGCACTAGGGTGGGGGCGGGGGGAGCTGTGGCTCTGTGATTGGCTGAAGGCGCCTCGGGGGCTTGGGGCGTCGGGGAGTGTGCGAGGCGGGCCGGGTCGTGTGCACTAGCAGAGACAAAGCAGTGGCTGAGGTGGTTGTGGCGGCTGCGGGAGCGGTAGCGGAGCACCCCCAACGCCGAATTTTGTGGTGCTGAGTTCTGTCGTCATCTAATTCAGTGCGGCGTACGGGCGTCTGGTGTTGCGGGGGCGGCGGCGACAGCGGCGGAGGCGGAGGCGGAGGCGGCGGCAGCACATGGTTCCAAGAGCGCGCTGCGGTTGTTGGGTTCCAATTCCGTAGGGAGGGACAAAGGCAGCCGGGATCGCTGGGCAACGCCCGGTTAGGTGGTGCGATCGCTACTGCCCGCAATCCCGGGCCTTGAAAGCTGGGACTAACTCATTACTGTGAACAGGAGGCCACGGGACCGAGGCCCTGAAGGGCCTGAGGCCGAGGTCGCTGAGGGAAGTGGGGGAGGGGCGCGGCCCGCCTGAGGTGATTTGTGCGGGCTAATTCTGACGCTTTTTAGTGGGTCATTGTGAGGTAATTTGACCCACTACCCTGCGGAGATTGGGGCGGGGCAGCAAGCTAGGTTTGATCTGGATTCTGAAAACAAATCCGCCATCGCATCGGCGCTTAAGAGATTTTTCAGGTGGGAGGTGGTGAAGCCGGAACTAACGCCACATACACTCCCATCGACATCATGGTCGCCAGTCTGCGGTATATTTAAGGGTCCTGGGATCATTGGTGGCGAAGACATGGGTGATTGTCTATTTTTATGACAGAAGTTGATACGTTTTCGGGTTGGTAAGTTTCCGGATTGGTAAATCTCCTGGAAGAACAGAAAAGTGATTGAAGAAAATGAAGATGGAGCAATAATAAAACGGCCATCTCCAGTACCATCTACTTCAAAGTCATCCTCATTCGACTCAATTGAATTATCGCAACTTAGGCTAACGCTCCTTAAGACTACAGATTTATGACCGTTCTTTTTGAAATATCACATCATAGTCTTTGAGAAGATAAATACTTAAAGAAGTCAATTATAGTTTAGATATATCTGAATATATTTTGGGTAAGCACTCAGTAACTTTAAGGAGCACACTTACCAAACTTGCTGGAAGGAGTCCTGGAAAATTTATTCCCATTGTAAGGTTATATTTCCCAGTTAGTGGTTAAAGGACTGAACCTCACTGCACTCATGGCTTTCACAAATTACAGCAGTCTGAATCGAGCTCAGCTAACCTTTGAATATCTGCATACAAATTCGTAAGTATCCTCTAGGTGCTACTGTGGTCGCTGATAACTCATTCCTTGATATTAGTGTGGAAATCCTTTTCCCAGAAAATTCTGCTTTTTCACTTTTTGGGATGTATCACTGGATGAGTCTTGAGCTCTGTGTGGAAGAACTGAGATCAGTGAAATATTTGTTGCTAATTCAGAAGAATATGACCTTCATTTTTTGGATCAAAATTTACTTGACCAAATGCAAACTAGTTATTTGAGGTCAATATGTGAGTTATTTCATTCAAGTGTTTGTAGGAATCCAACAAATACTGTTCTTTGAATCGCCAAAAGTTGGACTATTCTAGTAAATTCTCTTTGGTGACAACAGACAGAACAGTGGTGTTATAACAAGTTTTTTCTTTTTAACAAGGAAAAAGAATGAAGACATTTAAGTGACAGCTTGTGAGAAGAAGTTTTGTTTTTTTTAAGCGAACAGTTGTCTTCTTGGGGAATTCAACCCCACATCAGTATAGTTTTCATATACCAAGCAGGAAATGGCAACTTTGTTTAAACCCATGATTTAAATGGCTTTTCCCCCAAATGTGTGCAAATTTCAGAACACATAACGGTATTCATGGTTCTTGAGTCCATGAAGAGATGACCATAACTCCACATTGGTCTGGAATGTTTCAGGGTTATTCCCTATGCTCACTCTTTTGGAAGTAATCCATTGGGGTCATAATTACTTAGTGTTTTAACATTCATTTGTTAACTTTTGAGATGATGGTAAGTATTCTAACATTTTAATATGTGAAGAGCAGCTAAATGAATGGCCCAGAAATGTGAAGAACCACCTTCAAGATTGAGAATATAGACTTCATTATCCAATAATAGTGTAATTTTTAGCCTTTTATGGGAAAGGACTTAGAAGTGAAGCCAACACCAAAACCCTGAATTGCCCGAGATTCTTTTTTATGATAATGTCTGTAATTTTTTCGTCATATTTCCTGTGAGGGAAATAATTTTTTTCCAAGTGAAGTGAAGTGCGAAACTATGAGAGCCTACTTTTATTTTGTGTTTAGGAAGCTTATTATTGAACTAGTGTTTTAGATAGGTACTTTAGTGGTTACCCAGGTGAATTCTTATGCTATGGATGATGAATCTGAAATCCAGTTAGGTAAGGTTGCTGACCAAAGGCTAGTCAGCTAGTTTATAACATAGCCTTGAGCACAACCTTTTGTATCTTTATATTTGAACTGCCACATAAGAACAAGCAGTTGAAGGCCACTTAGGTGTTCACAGATGATTGTGCTTTCTTGCCTCAGTTCTGCATTTTGGAATGAGGGGTTAAATTTGGAGTGGTAAAACTATTTGATAATATTGGAAGAACATAAATGGGACTTCAGGAACTGAGCTCTTGTTCCAGCTTCCCCAAAGACTTTGATTATAAAATAATAGTAACAATAGTTAGTTGCTTTATGCCAATTAAAGTTTTAAACATGGTTGAAAGTAATCTTTATAGCAACATTGCTGGAGTAAGGATTATTCCTGTTTTGCATCTGAGGAAACTGAGGCTCAACGAGATTAAGTTCTATGCCAAAGGTTACACAGCTGCTATAAGATTTATCTGGCCACAGTGGTTAGTGCTTTTAACCATTAGGCAGTACTGACTCTAGTCAGTTTTACCTTTAAGGGCTTCTTATCTATACAGCAAGGGTTTACTTCTCACTTTAAAAATCTTCAGTTTTATTACAGTGAGCCTGTAATTTGAAGATTCTGGGGTATTTCTCGACTTACTTGTTGTGGTGTTTTATAGCTTATGAACAATAGGTGGACACAGTCCAAGCAAAGAATTGAACCTTAGTTAAATCACTCGTTTTGTAATATTGGGGAATTTCTTGTGAAGTGGATTTTCCAATGTTGAACCAGAACCACCTACTTGCATGGACATTGAAGGGCTGGGTGTATCATTTTGGAAGATCTGGAATTTATTATCTGGATTACACTTTTGAATTTGTCTACTTTTGAATGTGTCCCGTTGTGCCACAAGAAAATATGAATCCTAGAGAACACCAAGATAAGTTTCTGGTTTGTAACCAATTTCGAGATTTCTTTAATGTGATGACCTGGAAATTTTAGAGGAAACAAAATTTTCAATTTTCTTAAGATGTGACTTGTTACCCTTAGTGATAGTAGATTTATCTCCTCTGAGTCAAATGGTGCTGTGTCACCTTCAGAGAAGTGAAATTTTTTCTTACAGTACCTTCTTTGCTCTAATTTCAGAAACATCATTTTAGGGTGTCTGACATCTACAATATGGCCATATTGTGAATTATGAAAGAAGGGGCCCTTTCCTTACTTCCGATTAAATGTAGACTTGCAAACAGAGCCCCGGCCAGAAGGGTAGATCAGTGTGATGCAGTGGAAAGAGGATGGATTTGGGATCCTGCCAAGCTTGGATTTGACTGCTTCCTGGCTGAGTCCTTGCGCATGTTGATGTCTCTTGAGTCTCAGTTTCTTCATCTGTAAAACGGGGCTAATTTGTTTCTAAGTATTATGTAAAATAATGTTTATAATAAGTGGTACATGGTAAACACTGAATAGATGGTGGTGCTTATTCTATTTATAATAGTAGCTTATATAAACCAAAAGTTGGTCAGTGTGGTAGCAATTTGCGTTTGGTGCTAGTCATTAGGCAGATAAATCCTTAAATTCTTGAGCATCTGTTAGAGACAGTAAACATCTGTCTTGAATTAACTTTTTTTTTGGATGTATTAGGTCAGTGGTAACTACCAATGGTTATTCTCTTGGTTACATTAGTATTAAGATTTAAAACAGGCCTAGGAAATTCCCACGATAACATGAAAGCCTTATTCTAATTTCTTTTAATACTGGATGTTGCTATAATAGTTATAGATGATAAAAGGTAGGGTTTTTAAATAAAAGGAGTTTTCTGCTGTTACTCATCTTTTGTGCTAGATTTTGTGACTGATAGTAAAAAGTTCATGAGCAATCTAGGTGTAGTGGTGGTAGTAATATTACTTTGACATAAGATCATATCTTAAGTCATTCTGTTTGCAGTACTGCTAAGTGGTCTGATAGAGCAGGGTGCCTAAGTATAAGATGCCTGCTTTCTATGTCTGTTCCTGTTGGTACATTTAATAACTTCTTGTCTTGGCCATATGATATTTTTGGGTTGTTTTATCATTTGAAGTGAATACAGAGGAACCCGTCAACTTTAGTGACAATATTTCTTAGGACATAATTCTGTTGAAATGTAGTTTCATACTCTAAATATATTAAAGCCATTCGAATATGAAATGGTTGCTGTAGAATTTCTCAGCTTTATTTTCTGGCGATTAGGGGGAAATTACCTATTGTCAGCATACCCAAGAATTCAGCTGGTTTAAATTCAGGCTGTATATGAATAGGGAGACCATTTTCCTTACCTAGTGAGTAGATTTAAATGTGGATTTGTTACTGGAAATGCTGAGCTGCAAAATGATTTTGATTGTGGCACAAATGGTTTAAAAGCCTCAATCAGTTAAAAGTGAGAGTTTGTTAAAAATCTTTCTCTTTTCCCAGATGGTTGATCTTTCTTGGATCACATGCAAGGAACCTTTGGGTCTATGAAGAGATGAATTTCCTTTGATAGTTATTAAATATCTCTGTCATCAATTACTAGCTAGAAATGAGTGTACCTCTTTGAATATTATTTGAAGAAAAGAGAGGACATAGGCAGTTGGTATGTTTTTGGTTCTTAACTTTTTAAGAGATATTTGTAACTCTGGTCTTAACATTTGTTAGTAGGATCCATCCTTAATCAATTGGAGGTCTGGAGATGATTACGGAATCGAATGTTGTCTCCAAACTCACCAACAGTTGTCACAAAAGGCTCCTTTTATGATGTGTCAGTGCAATTCTTCCTTCATTTACTAAGGAAATACCTTAGTTACATTTGAAAGATATCTGTTAACTTATCTGAAAAACATGTGTGGAACAGCATTGCTACTGTGTGGAACAAGGAAGACCATTCGGAATGTTTTCATTAAAAATTCAAAATGTGCAAGGCACATTTCTAAACAGTTTAGAAAGTAGTGAAAACTTAGCCAGTGGTGCTTTGTGCTTGCCCTTTTGAGATCTTCCTATTGAATTCTAAATGTCTCATATTTTCATATCAAGTGATCAGAAATATGTATTGCTGAAAAGGAGTTGCTATTTCTGTTTTTTTATTTCTTTGCCCTGATGGTAAAGTATATCAGAATTAATTGTCCAAATTATTCATATTTACCATTCTCACTACCAAAGGCCAGACACTTCATTGTTTAATTTATTCCAAAGATTTCTGCTTACAAATTATAATCTCATTCTTATTATGGTTGTGTTTTTGTTTTTTCCTAGAAGCTATGTTTCTGAGATTATTTGACTTCTGAGATTCCTTGACTTAAAGTACAAATTCTTATTTAAATGAGAAGTATTGCAACAGAATTTATATTTTTATATAACAATTTTCAAAATTAAAACTTAGAAGGGCCGGCTGAGTGGCTCAGTTGGTTAAGAGCTCGCTCAAGAGTTTGAGCTCTGAGCAACAGCGGTTCGAGTCAGCCCGAGCTGAGCAGC